AAACCGCAGAAACGTTACTTACCCACGCAAGCTGATGAAATACTTATATATGCCTTATGACCAAATGAAAACGACTTACGAGCAGCTTGGACCAGTAATCCAGAAGATACTTTATGGAATGCATCAGGAAATGGAAAAAACATAACATCTTTCCACCAGTTCTTGGTTCACCAAAATAGAATAAAACGTTGTACAAATTTAGACGTTAAGTCTTGACGACATCATTCTCTTCTAAAGAAGAATGACATTTTTCGTTTGTTTTTCAGCTTTATTTCCGTCGTTAATTAAAAACGTTGAAATCATTTCATTGCAGTGCAGTCGTGAGGATATTTCTACGAAACTCAATGATCCGCTTGGTGCAGATGTCGCTGTTCACATCTCAAATCCGAAAACTTCGGACTTCGAGGTATTCCACAGGTATTTCTGCCGGTCCAACGACAAAGTGCATCTTGCTTTTAGGTGGCCAGGACAAAGCTTTTGCCCGGAATTCTCAAAACCATATGCAACAGCCGCAGCTGGCCACTTCCACTGAAGATGTTCGAAATTCAAGACGTTGTTTTGAAAGATCCTACGTCAGGTGATCACGTCGTGTTGTCACGTATTTCTTGACTATTTTCAATTATGCATTGTCGTTCAGAAACCGGTGCTAAGAATCGTCGCCATTTCTGTGCCGTGTATTGCGGCAAACGCAGCGGCTTTGAAGTCATTCATGGCCTATTGGACCGTTTCATGCGGCTAGTAGGATGGTCGTTTGGCACGGAAAAAAATTGTTACCATCTTGAGAATAGTTCCGGTAGGTGATGCGATTGTTTGGATCGAAAATCCTACTCACTTTACTTTTTCTGAAAAATCTGGTAGATATACGATTCTCTGTCTTTTAGACTGGCTAAGACACACATTTAGTTAAGCAAAAATTTAGCACATTTAGTTAAACAAAATGCACTAAATTTTTATTTTCCATTAGAACAAATTGTGCATGTTGACGGTGAACGTGCACCAACTAAATAAGAAGCTTTCGTATAAGGGCTCAGAAGTGTTCAACTACTTGATCTTGATCTTCTGATTTGAAAGTGGAACATTCGGGTCCATCTTCTCCAACTGTCTCACCATTCGGCCAGAGTTAAATAGGACGATAACCTTAACCTGTGGTGTTTTTGGAAATCTGTCCATTATTTGGGCTAAGAAAACACTGTCCACTAAATTCCGTCTGCACCTTATCTCTCGCAGAGCAGTGTTATTTTATGGTACGGTGACAATTGCTGACAACTGTTTGTGGGAAGCGGTCAAACGGCTGTTGACCTGTGTGCAGCAGCGTTGGCTTCGACCCATAATGAAGGTTGAATAATAGGATAATGCAAGGAGTGACTGTTATCTTCCAGGCACAGGTGGCCTCAGCAGATGTGGAGGTTAAGAATAGGAGACTGGCCCTGTTAGACAAACTGTTTGAGCATAAACCACTTATTCCAGCCTATGAGCTTCTCTCATGGGAGCCAAAACATGGCAGACATCCACCAGAACACCAGCATGCAACATGGAGAAACAGATGACGTTACAGGCCGGTCTGCCTTCGGTCAAGGAATATTTCTCTATTGGGATGCAGTAACCGTGCCTTATAGGAAGAATGTTTAAAACCTGTGAATACAACGGATATCGCAAACAAGAGACTTTTTATTTATGCGAACCGCTCAAGATAATCTAATGAAGACCTTAATTTATATTTTAACTCAAAGAAATTTATTAACAAATGTTGTTAATGAACATTCACCAACTACGTGTGAAACTCGTGACAAGGCTTCACAGAATTTGAGCTGCTAGATCCCGATGCACTAAAGTTTACCAGCGGAGAAGCTTCTTTCGAAAATTTTTAATCACTGCTTCTCTTTGTTCTCAAAGGCCCTTTTCGATTTTAGGGGGCGTTTAGCACTTTGATGTGGTATCTCTTGCATTTCTTTTGTGATTAAGAAAATGATGTGACGTGATGCCAAAGATTAGGTAAAAATATGTAACCAGAGTAGTGAACCGTACTGTGTCCTTTGCCGCAGTTCCGGATAGGTAAATATCATTGAGAGTCATCGATATGTACAAAAGCGAAAGTGGTTATTGGGAACATCATGAAATTGTTTCGACCACAGCAATTCTCTGTTCCACGATTCCATAATTACTAACTTGAGTTACTATTTTGTATTGATGCTGCTCAAAGTATGTTTGTTTCGTCTTATTTACCAATGTATGAAAAGTATAATTACGATTATTAACTTACTGAGAGTAATTCTGTCTTATTGGTTTCCCGACGCACTTGCGTAGTACTTTTGCAGTAAAATATTTATGGTGTTATATAAACAAGCTACGGCTTCATGGTATATTAGCAGCTGATTAGTTCAAGCATTATTTTAGAAATTTATAGCTAGGAGCTGAAGCCTGCAACATTAATGCTAGACAGATCCAAATTGTATATATCATGGCTATTCAAGGCAGTATTTCGACTGGCTGAGAGTCAGTCTTCAACAGATCACTATAGTTCACAATTTACAGCCAATTAACTGCTGTGGAGAGTTACAGCTTCTGTGCACATCTATGACGGAAGGATTTTGAAAGATAGATATTACGTCTCTGTTATTTTGTATATTGTGTACTTCGTTAAGACGTGAAGTGAAGATTTACTACTTGAACAA